TATTAAATTTAATCAAAGGAAATAAAAAGTTAAATACTATATATTAAATGAATCCAATAAAATTAAAATTATTATAATAATTTAATATTTCTTCTATTCACATTATTATTTTTATAAGCATTGTATTTTTCAAATATTTTTGGGGAGAAAAAAAAATTTTTTAGTCCACATCATCAATTTTTTCCATGTGGCATTCTATTGATTAGCGTGTAATAACACGTCAACAATAAAAAAGAAAAAAGACAAAATATTTAACAGATTATAGTGTCACTCTGTCACTTAACTGACGGAAGGATAAAAAAGGAGTCGGATTTTGAAATTTAAGGATTAAAAAAAGGATTTTTTTGGTACAGGAACTAAAAAGGGGCTTTTTCTTATAGTAGATGGACCAAAAGGGTATTTAACATAAATAAAATAAAAATAAATACATTAAACAATATTTTAAAAAATAATTAAATTTAAGTGTCTAAAATAAAAAATTAAATCTACAAAAATTAAATGAAAGGAGTAATTTTTTTTTATTGGAATGTACATATCATCCCGACGTTGAGATGAATCATTTTAAATATCTGAGAGAAGAAAAAGTATTCTGGTCAAAACTTACAAAAACTTCGGCAAGATGGAACATGCTCTTAATGTTTGAATTTATATTTCTTAATTTTAAAAATTGTAAATTTGGAATCGTGGCCCATAATTAAATTAAATGATAATCATGTTATGATGTTAAGAACCGATAATAGCTGTTAGTTTAATGGCGGTACTAAATAATAGATCGTGGAGGATGACATTCTCAGCATTCCCAATCTCTTCGTATCTCTTTTTGCAGCAAAATTATTGAAACTTGAAGGAACGCATGTGATGATTAGTCCTTGTTGTTTTTGCTCCATCTTAGCATACAAATATATTGCATGTGAAAAGTCGGCCTTCAATATGAATTTGTTAATCACATGCATGTTTCAAGGTATTAAATGTAATTTTCTTTTCTTTTCTTTTCTTTTTAATGTGAAATAACAATGGTGGCTCTTCACCCTCTGAATCATCTATCTTGGGTTCATATGAAGGGGAAAATTGCACTTGTTCATATGATTGATGTTAAGTGCATTTTAAATTATTATTAAAATATGTACTTAATGTGAAATAGTTAAAGAGTGTTTTTAACATATGTTTTTAAAATATAAGTTTATGGTATTTTTTATTATAAATATATATAAAAGATGTAAAGTTGACTTTAATTTTATTGTTTGTTTCTAATGAATAAATTTAATTAAATTGTTGATAAATTAAAAGTCAATTCTTTATTTTTTCAATACAAATTTATAATAAAAATTTTATTTATTATACTTTTAATCTATACTATAATAAAAACCCATAGTTTAATATATATTTTTATTTTAATTGTACAATAAGAGGTAATCATTTCTCATTTCTTATCATATCTCTTCCACATCTTATGGGATTCAAATTTAAAATTTTTTACTTCTAACAAAAAGAAATTATTATTAAATTATTTAAGTAATTAACAACTCATACTTTAATATTAAAAGTGAAAAGACAACTTTTTTGAACAAAATTTTATATCCCCTCAAAACATGGCCATACGCTAATGCTTTATAATTGTTGGGGAGGATGTCAGTTTTACATCTAAATAAGAAAAGAAAGCAGATACTACAAGTTACAGAAAACTGATTTTCATCAATCTATGATAAAAAGTGTAAGAATATCTATAGAATTATTTAAATACATTCGTGTTGATTTTGCATCCCCCTACAACTTATTGTTATTAAAAAAGAGAGAGAGAGAGAGAGACTGCAAACAACTTACAAGTTATTAGTGGCAGAAACCCAAATCAACAATAACACAAGAAAAAGGAGGCCCATGACAACTTTTCGACCTGAGGAGGCCCATGAGAAATATGGTCCTTTTATCCAAAATGTGCAGCCCACTTTTGTGTAAAAATTGAAACGACCCACTACTTGTGAAAAAAAGCAAAGAAGAAAAAATCGTCTCGTTTTGTTTTCGGTTTTGGAAGCCAAATCATCCACATTTTCTTTCCTTTACTTTCCGGTGCAGGATACGAACTTGCCTCTTATTTATTTATTTAAAAATATAATTTTTAAAAATTTTAAATTCAGTGATGACTTTTTTAAAAAAAAAAATAAAGGTAAAAATTTTATGAGTTTTTTTTTTTTCATTTAAAATTTTATGAGATAACAAGGATGACATGATAGATGAAAATAATACTCATCTAATGGTAAAAGGGGAATAGAATATTAGAGTGAAAAAAAATAATATTTTGTAAAAAGGCTCTTCCCTAAAAAACAATCTTTCTCCTCTTAGTAGCAAGCTTCCTAGAATCTTCTTGTTAGGTATGCTCTGTCATCCTAAAATTTATTAGTTGTTTGTCTTCAAGTTGTTTATTTATT